CCATTACTTTTCCCTTTTAGTGGCCCTAATACTGTATAGTACACATGCAACTGTTGTGCTACAACATTTAATTCCATTGTCAGCGTTTGAAAGCCTAAAGTCTGCACTGAGCAAAATCCTTTACTTTTTAAGATAAAATAAAGTTATAGATGTACCTTTTTGTTTTTCCTCAGCAAACAGGGAGAGAGTTACTGTTATAGACTTAGGTAAAACATATTGACATATTCAAATTTAAAGTATGGGCAACCACCTCATTATGTTGTTCAAGCCTAAGGGCCTTAAAAACCTGTGTTTTAGCCTCTAATGAAGTTGTTGTCTTTAAGCTTGCGAGTTGAACCATAGTTAACTGAAAAGCTTATTAACTCTGGATTGTACTGAAACTAGAAAGGGTTGAGTATGAGTGTTTTAAAAGCAGCTGTATGATTCTGTATTTGAAAATAGCAAAGACGTCATCATTATACTGCAGTAAAGCATCTTATGTTGTATTTTTACTTGATCCAATTTCACTCCAGGTTTAATCCACAGACTGTTTATAAAGATGGACGACATGTCTCAACTTTCCTCCACTATCCAGAAGTGAAGCCTATATAGTCTGGATACGAACCCTGCTATCCTGTATGGGGGGGTGGAGTCGTGGTAGCGAGGTCCCATCAATACATGCACATGACCAATCGTGAGTCAGTCTCAGCTGTCAATCAGGACGTTTCACCCCGATTTTACACCATTGAATAATTAATCAGAACCAAACTTAACATAAAAAAGAGCAAAACGCCAATATGATAAGAACTACTTTTTCTAACATGAAGGATGCGGGGATTATGACATATACTGCAGTCAGCCAATCAAGACGCTTCGGCTTCACTTTAATGGAGCAGTATTGTCGTCCATCTTTAAATACGGTCTAGGATTAAATCAGACGTAGGATTCTTCGGCAAAGAGTAGCTGGTCGAAATCTGGCTCTGCTGTGGGGTCGTTGCATCTCTTCAGCCACTCCCTGCGACTCTCGACCAGTGCGAGCGCCACCTGCTGGCTGCTCTGGGGGTTGCTGCGCCGGTGCGAGGAGAAGTACTCCCTCACCGTTTTGGTGGCACAGGGCGAGAGACAGAAACGGGCCTCAGACGTCTCACCCTGCGAATCCACCTCAGACACCTTCAGTCCTGGGTCGCTGGGCAGCCTCGCCCGGCCGAGGGTGGAGGCTTGCTCCACCACCTGCCGTCCAGGCTCTGACCCCCGGCGGTGATGGAGCCTGGTGTTACACTCACCCTTTACAGAGTGAGTCTTGTGTCGCTTAAACAGGGACAGAGATGCAGGGCCGTGCTTGTAAAATAAAGATGGTGACGGCTGCTTCAGCTCGCTCACGTCATGTTCAGCTGCACACCTCTGGATGGAGATGTCACCTGCTGTAGAGGCATGGCTGGTGCTGAGCTGCCTGGAGTCTGAGCTATGGCATAAGGGAGATTTAGGGAAGTAGAGGCTCCCTGTTGAGCGGTGGTGACTTGGGGGGCTGGATGTGTCCTGTTTAACATGGCCCCCTCCTCTGGTATCTTTGCAGGACACTTTTGGCTTCTGTTGACTGCTGGAGACGACTTTTCCTCCTGCCTTCTCACATGCTTTTCCTTTTTCTGGGACGAGTTTGCCAAGTGTGAGCGACATATCGATGGATCCTTCCTGTTTGTATAAGCACATACAATAAATATAGGACATTATGTGGTATAAAATAATCTAAGCTGCATCTCATGGCCTTTAAATTGAGCTGGAGCTATCACGACTCAAGTCATAATAAGATTTAACTTACCCCAGTCTTGTCCTCGTCGTCTTTCTCTAAGTTGTCTTGTTGGGTCAGTGACATTCTCCGATCTTTCCTCAGCCAGGAATTTGGATGGAGGCCCCTGCAACCTCTTAAAGTCCCCCAGTTGAGTGGTTCTCTGGGTGGGGAGCCTTTGGGAATTGTTTCCAGCTCTGGAGATCCATTTGAGGTCAGAACGGAGCCGATGCTAGTTGTAGACGTCACAGCGGTGGAAATTGATGCAGAGGTATCAATGGAGGGCAGGCGTGTTTTGGACAGGTGAAGCCCCCGTATGGCTGTGCAGATGTGGTCACTGCTTAGGGAGTCAAGGGAATCCAGGGAGGAGCGTGTGGGTGCAGGGGAGGTGGCGGTAGAGGAGAGGCTGGAGGAGCTGGCTCCCAGAGCTCCACCATGAAGGTTTAGCTCGCCTCCAGCTCTCCTGCTCTGACCTCCAGAGTGTGTGTGAGTGAGTGTGTGAATGCTTGGCTTCTGTAAAGGCTTTTCTTCATCTTCCTCATCCTCACCAGTGAGACCGTCTGTACTCCCTGTGAGACACGGTCTGAACTTGGTCATGTATGCGATTGCCGGTTCAGAGCGCCGCCTCTGTCTGTGCCGTCCATCCAGGGACAGGGAGTCCAGGGTGGAGGAGGTGTCCAGGGTCGGTGAGTCCTGGCTGGGGCTGGACAGGTCTGGGTCCTGTGTCCGTCCTCTGGATCTCCGCAGTGGGTTTAGCTTCAGACCAAGTGGACTGTCTGTTTGTGTGTGGTGTGTATCTGGGTCTGTGTCTTGGTCGTAGTCGCTAAACGTGAGGATGGAGTCCAGGCTGCCTTGAAGAGGTTTGGATCGAAGCTGCCGTCGGCTGCAGAGACCAGGCGACCCTCCGCTGCTGTTGTCCAACTCGTTCTCGAGACTGTCGTAGGACGAGTCAGTCAGAGGGTACTTCCAGGACTCTGATAGTCCAGAGAACGAAGGAAGAATCAAGCAAGAGGACATGAATGAGACAGAGGGAAACAGCTTTCTGCTCTCTTTAGATTTGTGTGGAATTTTAAACATTTCAAGAAACCATGAAATAATAAAGACACTATTCTCATTCTATTATTTATTTATATTGAGACGGAAAAAAAAAATCTTTATTTTTTATTTATCTGGCAAGAAGAATGTTGGACTCATTTGTATGGACTAATTTCACTGTGACTTTACATCTCTGTATCTCCATCATTTCTGTACCTGATCCCAGCTCGTCAGTGTTGAGCTTTTGTGGCAGCCCTCCAAACAGAGAGCTGGGGTCCTCTCCTAGGATCTGCTGACAGTGTTCGATCATGAACTTCACCAGTTCACAAACCTGCAGCATACGAGAAGAGGATAAGAGGAGAAGCCTGGTGAAACTGTGTAAAATGTGAAAAGGTTGTTTTAGCATTTTTTCAAGGCTGGTAGGAATCTCCTGCCCTTCATTTCTGAGCAGCTTTGTTACAATGCTTCCTTCATTCTGGAACAAACATGGAGGAGGAGGAAAACAATTTTGCTTCACAATTTTGGTTATCTTGTGTAACTCGTTTCTCGGGATGGCAACTTTGGCAACCAAAGTAACAAATGCCTCTTTGTTGCTGAGCTGTGAGACGCTTAGACAGATTTATTTTGCCGTGTTTCAACATAATAATCCCGGGCATCAGGAGAAGTGGCCAAATCTATTGAGGTCTGGGTCAAATTCCACAGTGTATTTGTGATATTCCACCCTTAAAAAACTTGACTTGACTCAAATATTTTTGCAGTTTGTGAAAAATGTTTGCTCCTCATCTGTAAACTCAGTACATTAGAGCTTAATATCCAATCAGCAAATTCTAGTCGACTGAAACATGAGCCTGAAGCTGTGGTGAGGTTTCTGTTTTGATGAATGAGCTTAAGAGCTGATAAATAATTTGAGAAGATTTGTGTTTTTCACAATTTAGATCTATTAAAACAAAATCATCTTTCAAAACTGCACCAGCCATAATATCTCACCTTCTTAGCTCCCTCTCCTTCCACCTCAGGGCTGCAAGGTGCTCCGGGAGGCCAAAGCATGCTGGGAGCAATGCACACCGATAAGTTGAAACTTGTCATTTGGTTCTCGTGTGCGTTCCCCTGGATGCCATGCAGCATGGCCAACAGGTGGCGTAGCAGCAGGGCGTTTCCTTTGGGCAGGCGAAAAATCATCCTGCAGGATGATGGATTAAGTAGTTAGAGTAACGTGAGGAGTCGAGTAGAGTAACAGGACAGAGCGTGTAGATGTTACCTCTGTATGTCCTGCACCTGTTCTTCCTCCTCCTCCTCTTCCTCCAGAACATCCAGCCATTCTTCATGTAGTTCAGAACACAGCATGCTGCCCGGGATGCTGCGCAGGAAATCCTGAAAGCATCCACGCAGCAGAGCATCATTAAAATAAATGAAATACAGAATAAAAACTATCCTGCAAATTATTGTGGATTCCTCCATTAGAGATCTTCAGTCAACTTGCATTTTTGGCCATTAAAATGGAATCAGACAAATGTGAATAATTGCTGCGTACAGGCGTAACATAGTTTAAGCGCTTGTACACAACATCTCTGTGTTATCCCTCCAGATAATAAGAGATTATAATCCAGATTACACTAACAACATGTAGGCTGCTCTGCTGTGGACAGCTTGTCCTGCTAATTTAACTGTATATCATGTCACTCTGAGGCTGAGCAGGATAGAGCAGATTAATTTTGTGCTTATAGATGTGGGTTAATAAGGTGGCAAACGGTGATGCATGCACAAAGTCACACACACAGTTTTCAAACTAAACAACAGTCCTCGACCTTAAAGACTCCGGCTATGATGAAGACATGGTCGCGTGTCAGAGGAAGTTGAAACTCTCCGGCGTCCAGAGAGTCCCGCAGCTCCCTGACGGCCCGAGCCCCCGCCGGCCGCCGGAAGATTCCCCGCGTCCACGAACCCTCGTGGTACAGGAACACCAACATGTCCTGATGAGAGAGGACAGAGAAAGTGAGGGGTCATCTTCCTCCATATCTCCACCACTGCATCGCTGATGCTTGTATTTGTCTAAAACATTTTCTAACTCAGTGTTAAGTTATCCATCATTAAAGGGAAGACAAATTAAAATAACATTATGTAACTTTTACTGAGCAACAGCGCCCTCTGCAGTGTCATGTGATGGTTAATTCTGGGCTCCGAGCGATGAAGTGGTTTTCATGTAGTTGCTCAGTTAAAGTTGCATATTGTTACTTTGTCTGAATTCTCAGTGTACTCACTCACCATGACCGGCTTTGGCAGAGCGTCCTCTATACAAACTGAGCTGAGAGGCTGTCCGAACAGGAAGCCACGGGGCGCTCCTGCAAGTGACAGCTCATTCAGGTGTGAGGAGGAGCCTCGCCAGAACGCCCAGGTGATGAAGGACCGCCTCCTTTTAAACGGCTTCTGAATTAAGTCTGGAAAGACAACGCAGTTTCCCAGAAGGCATGAGTAAACATCTTTCAAATTTCTTTTTAAATTACAACAACCATCATATACACTCAACAGAGTAAAGCCCTGTTATGTGTAACAGAGTAAATTCCCAGTTGATGGTCTCACCTGCAGATACTTGCTGCAGCATTTCCGTGGGTCGGGGCCTCAGGATGAACTGGCACTGCTTGCTCACCTGCAGCGCCCTCTGTCTGTCCGCAGTTGGTGTCGCAGTGTCCCTGCCTCCTTGAGATGTCGTGTGTCTCACGTGACTCATCTGAACGCTGAATGGAAACTCATGACCTGGGACACAGGATTGAACTGTATCGATCCCTGGAGGCTTGATATAGTTGCCATATAACAACTACCACAGCGCCAAAACATTGCACCGTTAATCAGGGCACACAAGTGAGCCCTCGTTGCCAGCTAACTGTGGTTTCTGAGAGTGAATGGTACCAGTGTGTTTAAAAGACACATCTTGCCTCTGTGCTGATGAGGAAAAACAGAATCACCGATCGTCCAGGAAACAATACATTCACAACAGGGTGTGTTTTTTAAGTGTTGCTCACCTATTAGAGGATAGGGAGAGTTGTCCCTCTTAGAGATGACCCACAGCTGATAGTCTTTCACATTCCCCTAAGCAGAAGACGCAGAGTCAGAGACAAGACACAAGATGCAGGATGAAAGAAAAAGTGTTCACATGCTGCTGGTTTGCATCACATGTAAATTGTGCAGCTGGTGTAATTATTTGCAGCAATTTTATCGTTACTCAAAAAATTGTTCAGTCTATAAAATACCAGTGTGAGTTTTTTTCAGTTTACAATGACATAAAATAAACACATTTTCACTTTAAATAAATTTGAAATATTTGTGCTG